AGAGAGAGACCAAAGAGAGACCAGAGAGAGACCGGAGAGACCAGAGAGAGACCAGAGAGACCGGAGAGACCAGAGAGAGAGACCAGAGAGAGAGACCAGAGAGAGACCAGAGGGACCAGAGAGAGACCAGAGAGAGACCAGAGGGACCAGAGAAAGAGACCAGAGCGAGACCAGAGAGAAAGAAACCAGGGAGAGAGACCACAGAGAGACCAGAGAGCGAGAGACAGGAGATAAAAACCAGAGAGAGACCATAAAGGGACCAGTGAGAGAGAGAGCTTTCATAGGTTTACAAAAACATATTTTCTGAAACTCTATGAATAGAATTATGGAAAACCTCTCTCTGCTGCTGAGACCATGGATCATTTTGCAGAGATTTCCTTTGGTGAATGTGACGCCACTTTGTGAAGGAAGGTGCAGAGAGCTGCAGTATTCTTGGGTGTCATTAAACTGGCCAGTAGGGGGCGCATGAGCAGAGGTTTTGCTCCCATTGAAAACCATGTAAAGTCTGTTTTGGAGTCAAAGGCTCTCCTCCTGTGCGGTGTACGGTTGTTGGAACAGTCTTAATCGGGGACACTCAATTCTAAGGGAGGACTAACAAATATTTCTCAAAAGAGTCTTGATTTTGGGCATTTTTGGGGGAAAAAACAGAAGAAATTGCTGCGTTTCATTGGGGTGGCCTGCAGGGGGCGCTTATCTGGGAAAGCCTTGATCCACCTCGCCCGCCTCATTCCAGTGATTTTTTCAAAGTGTCCTCCTTTATATGAGACACAGTTGGAACATGAACAAACTCTGGTCTTTCTCTATTTGTGCTGTTGCTACAAACGTACACCGCACAAAAAGATGCTTCTTCTTCTACTATATCTCTGTGTATAAACCTCTTCTTTTACTATATCTCCGTGTATAAACCACTTCTTCTTCTACTATATCTCCTTGTATAAACCTCTTCTTCTTCTACTATATCTCTGTGTATAAATCTCTTCTTCTTCTACTATATCTCTGTGTATAAACCTCTTCTTCTACTATATCTCCGTGTATAAACCTCTTCTTCTTCTACTATATCTCTGTGTATAAACCTCTTCTTCTTCTACTATATCTCTGTGTATAAACCACTTCTTCTTCTACTATATCTCTGTGTATAAACCTCTTCTTCTTCTACTATATCTCTGTGTATAAACCTCTTCTTCTACTATATCTCTGTGTATAAACCACTTCTTCTTCTACTATATCTCTGTGTATAAACCTCTTCTTCTTCTACTATATCTCTGTGTATAAACCTCTTCTTCTTCTACTATATCTCTGTGTATAAACCTCTTCTTCTTCTACTATATCTCTGTGTATAAACCTCTTCTTCTTCTACTATATCTCTGTGTATAAACCCGGCAGACTGCAGCGCCAGGATACGTCACGTCCTGTCCTACGTTTGTTATTTGCGCCACTGCCCTGACGTCAAATGAAACCCAAGAATGATTTGTATCGGTCGATGTAGAAGGATGTTCCACCCAGCTTCACCACTCTGAGGCCGATTAGGCAGCAGCGGACGAGGACAGGAAGCAGCAACACAAAACTGCACCACACTGCACCACTCTCTGACCTGGACAAGATGGCCGACATGCAGTCACCGACATCAACCACCTTTTCAAGAGACAGAAGCAGGAGGCCTCTCTCTCACTGTTCTCTCTCTCTCTCTGGTCTCTCTCTCTCTAGTCTCTCTCCCTCTGGTATCACTCTGGTCCTTATCTCTCTCTCTCTCTAGTCTCTCTCCCTCTGGTCTCTCTCCCTCTGGTCTCTCTCCCTCTGGTCTCTCTCCCTCTGGTCTCTCTCTGGTCCCTCTCTCGGGTCTCTCTCTCTGGTCCCTCTCTCCGGTCTCTCTCTCGGTCTCTCTCTGGTCTCTCTTTGAGGTTCCTCTCTCTTGTCTCTCTCTCTAGTCTCTCTCTCTGGTCCCTCTCTCTTCAATATCTCTCTCTGGTCTTTCTCAGGTCTCTCTCTCTGGTCCCTCTCTCGGGTCTCTCTTTGAGGTTCCTCTCTCTTGTCTCTCTCTCTCTGGTCTCTCTCTTGTCTCTCTCTCTGGTCCCTCTCTTGTCTCTCTCTCTGGTCCCTCTCTTGTCTCTCTCTCTGGTCCCTCTCTCCGGTCTCTCTCTCGGTCTCTCTCTGGTCTCTCTTTGAGGTTCCTCTCTCTTGTCTCTCTCTCTCTGGTCTCTCTCTTGTCTCTCTCTCTCTGGTCCCTCTCTTGTCTCTCTCTCTGGTCCCTCTCTCCGGTCTCTCTCTCGGTCTCTCTCTGGTCTCTCTTTGAGGTTCCTCTCTCTTGTCTCTCTCTCTGGTCTCTCTCTCTGATCCCTCTCTCTTCAATATCTCTCTCTGGTCTTTCTCAGGTCTCTCTCTCTGGTCTCTCTCTCCGGTCTCTCTCTCGGTCCCTCTCTCGGTCTCTCTCAGGTCTCTCTCTCTGGTCTTCTTCCTTCTGGTCCCTCTCTCTGGGTTTTATTAACACAAATGGTATGTGTTCATGGTGTCTTGTGGGTTATTTTGAGAACACATCACCCCAAAACAACCAAGACTTAGCCATCGCAAACAGCCACAGCAGCAGTCGCATTAGCATTAGCAGCATTAGCATTAGCAGCAGTAGCATCAGCATAAGCATTAGCATCAGCATTAGCATTAGCAGCAGCGAGTGTGTCTATGGGCAGACGTGGAGATGCAGATGTCCCATGTGAGTGGTGGTGAATGGGGAAGTGCCCGAGGGTAGAGCTGGGTGGTGGCATTACGGTGGAGCTTTGTGACCCGAGAAGCGGCTGTGCATGGGATGTGCTTTCCGCCACAGATGTTAGAATGTTTTAGAACAATGAAACCAAGCGTCCGAGTCGATACACGGCTGCCTAAGTTATCGTTATCGACTGGGAGGAAATCGGGACAACGTCAAAGCTTGTTCAGACTGGAGAAAAGAGTGTCTAAAGTAGAGATAATTACACCGTGTAAGGATTATACAACACATACTTCAGATTCATAACAACAGTTGCTCAGTGCAGAGGTAACAAGTTGGGACATTGTGTAACATGCACAAAATAATAAAAAAGTCTAGGTCAGATTGTCTTATTGAATTGGGAACGAATATATTTATTCAAAGAAGATATAATTCATGAGCCAGATTTTTTTTCGTTTCCACCATAGACTGAATATGATAGTGGACTGGTCTGGGATCGCTCTCTGGCTTCTCTCTCTGGTCTCACTCTCTCTGGTCTTACTCTCTCTGGTCTTACTCTCTCTGGTCTCACTCTCTCTGGTCTTACTCTCTCTGGTCTTACTCTCTCTGGTCTCACTCTCTCTGGTCTTACTCTCTCTGGTCTTACTCTCTCTGGTCTCACTCTCTCTGGTCTTACTCTCTCTGGTCTTACTCTCTCTGGTCTCACTCTCTCTGGTCTCACTCTCTCTGGTCTTACTCTCTCTGGTCTTACTCTCTCTGGTCTCACTCTCTCTGGTCTCACTCTCTCTGGTCTTACTCTCTCTGGTCTCACTCTCTCTGGTCTTACTCTCTCTGGTAGTGATGTGCTGAGCGGACCGAGTCTTCGAAGCGTGGACTGAGTAATCTGGGGGCGTTTCTTGTGAAGTGTGGGTCGAGGCGTGTATTGGTCACGTATGTGGTCACGTTCGAAGCCTCGCGTAGCGGCCGCACCACGTGACGGTTCATAAAGTGCTTCATACAGTTCGGAGAGTGCATTGCTTTGACAGGTGCTTTGTGATCCGCGGCTGTACCATAGACTGTATTGGCTGTCCCCGTCTGCCTCTGTGTGCGTACGTGTGTGTGCGTACGTGTGTGTGCGTGATGTGGAGCAGTCCTGTACTACTTCATATGAAATACAATTAAAAACGTTTCACTTTAGTAAAACCTCATATATCAAGGCTTCAAGTTATTAGTAATAATACGCTGGATAATACATTTCACAACAGCTGTGTGGCGCAGTCGGTATATGACGGACTCCGAAGCAGAAGATATAGCGTTCGAATCCCGGTCTACCCATAATAAATTTTGTGTTGCAAAGTAAATGTATTTATTTATTGGGAATAAATGGTTTGTTGTGTTTAATTAATCCACCTCTTGGTAGTTTTTCCTCCATTAATCACTTTCTGTAGAACTGTATTACTTTGGATGTGTTTGTTGTATCAACACAATTAACTGAAAGACTCAAATAGTTCATAGTTCATGAAGCATCATTTCAAACACAACACGTTAGACCATAGATTGTAAATATACATTTTAACATTAGATCTCACCATTCATTGTAAGCACTTAAGAGTGTTATGTATTTCTTTGTCCACATGATGGCGTAGTGGAGCATGATTCACCTCGAGCCTTCGACTCATGGGCCGAGTAATAGGCTGCTATCCCTCAAGGCTTCATGGGGCTTCATATTGCCATCACTACTCTCTGGTCTCACTCTCTCTGGTCTCACTCTCTCTGGTCTTACTCTCTCTGGTCTCTCTCTCTGGTCTTACTCTCTCTGGTCTTACTCTCTCTGGTCTCTCTCTGGTCTCTCTCTGGTCTCACTCTCTGGTCTTACTCTCTCTGGTCTTACTCTCTCTGGTCCCTCTCTCTGGTCTCTCTCTTTGTTCTCTCTCTGGTCTTTCTCAAATCTGTCTCTCTATGGTCTGTCTCTGGTTTCTCTGTTTTTTATCGTTGTTTTTTATAGTTCCAATTCCTGTGTTTGAATGGTTTGATTCTCTGATCTGTGTTTGTGAATCGACAGCTTTGAAAGGTCCTCTGAGATTACTGCTGTTGTGATTTAGGGTGATACAAAAACAAATGTAATTGAATTGCCTTCGATGGTTCTAATCTGAATTTACAATATAAACATTAAGATCTCAGAAAGTGCAAAACGGACACAAGTTGAGCAATTTCTGACTTATTTTTTGATCACTTTTTGCATTCTACACACTGGCCCAACACTTAATGCATTTTGCAAAATAAGATAATCACTACGATACTGACTCTGTTCTAATTCAGCCCTTACCTGGAAGTCGGTGCCGAGATCTCGCCCGAACGTTGCGATGGGGGAGTCCCTGGACATGGAGGTGACCGTGGAGAGGAAGCTGCTGGATTCGGTGAGATGTGGCATGGGAGACAGATCGTCCGTCCCGTCTCTGAACGCCTCTCCCACGTGCTCCAGCTTCTCCATGAAAATATGCAGCTCTGTCCGGAAAGCCTTCATCCTCGTGTTCATCGTGTCCAAAACTTGCGTGTCCGGTTTGGACGTGGAAGAGCTGCTCTCGTCTCCAGTTGTGACCACCAGTCGGCCTTCGTACACCAAGCTATCCGTGTCGGTTATAAGTCTGTCCACGGTCTTGCCTAGCCGGTCTGCTTCACGTTTTACATTGTTAAAAGACTCCTTCTCCTCTCGCCTGCGATTGGCTAGCTCCACAGCACTTAGCTCGCTACCGTCCGACGGCTTCGCGCTCCCAAACCCGGACGTCGTTCCCGTCTTCTCGAACAGATCGTCGGAATCGCTCTCCCCGCCGATGGGACCCTCTCGTTTGGGTTGCAGTAATATTAGCCTCTTAGCTTCTTCCTCCTCTGCTGCTGCCGCTAGCTCTGCTTCGCTATCTTTTGGGCTAGCTGTGCGCGTGTTAGCGGCTAAATCGTAGCGCTGGACGTTGGACAGCAGCACACGGTTTTCGTACTGCAGCTTCATGACTTTGCCGCTGAGTTCGTTGATCTGTATGCGCGCCGATTTAAGCTCCTCCATGATTAAGCTAGCCCCGTTACCGCTTTTGTACAACTCGCCACCGCCGCCGCCGCATTCCTCCGATGCTACGCCACCAGCGCTAGGCCCGAACTTAAACCGGTTCAACTCGGACGTGAGCTGGCGATTGTGGTCTTCTATCTCGGAAATCGACCGCCGCAGGAGCTCGGCCTCTTCCTCCACGAACTGCAAGTGGCGTCTGAGCTCGCTAGCCGATTCTAGCGCGTCTCCGCCGTACGGGGAAGACGGCATGCTAGAGAAGGGCTCGCGGCCGAAGCAATCGCGCTCGTACTGGCACCGGATGTCCTCGTTCTCCGACCGCAGGCTACGGTTCTCCACCTCCAGCTCCACAATCTTTCGACCCAAGATGTTAGCCTCCTCCTCCACCAGCTTCAGCCGCAGACGCAGCTCGGCTTCCCGTGTGGAGTGAGGGCCTCCTCCGGGGCACTCGGCAAGAGGGGAGGGGCTGTCCACGTCGCCGTACACGGACTTGTACTTCTGCAGCTCCTGCTCCAGCTCGTCTTTCTCGCGGCTGAGTTTGGCCATCTTCTTCCTCATCAGACTGGACTCCTCTTTGACGAACTGCAGCTGACAGCGGAGGTCGGCGCTGTCCTCCTAAAAATAACACGGAAGAATGAGGTCAGTGCGTTACTGTAATCTTAACGTCTTGTCTGTGATGGTACAGGACATTTAACCACATCTATGGACATTGGTCATCTGCCCCTTATGGACTAACGGCTCTATGTGTTTGTAAAGTCCTCCGAGATAACTACTGCTGTGATTTAGGGCTAAACAAAGAGACAATACAATACATACAATGGATTTTTCTAGGGTCACATTGTCTTTACTAAGAGCTACACGTGATACAACATCATGTGTAAAGTTCTACTGGGAAAAGAGGACGAATGTAAAGTGCATATGTGTGATTATCTAGTGGAATAATGCCTGTAGATAGATATATAGAGATAGATATAGATAGACAGAGAGTAAGAGAGAGAGGTAGGTAGATACTGTATATACCAGGTATGTCCAAACTCAGGCCCGTGGGCCAATTGCGGCCTTCTGTGCCATTATATGTGGCCCTTCTGCTGCTAACACAAAGTCGCCTTTGAGGCACTTTGACAGTGTCATCCAACCAACTTCAGCTCCACCAACAAAGTCGTGTTGTAAGACTTAGACCCTCTTGAATCCAGCTGTTGGCTCTATTGTTAGAAACTGACATTTGTTTCATGATAACATTCCAAATAAAATGCAGCTGTGGCGTGGATCCATAAGAACGTATCATAAACCATTTTAGATTCAAGAATCCAGTCAATCCAGCCCCAGGTCAAGTCTGATGAACTAGAGAGGCCTATAACTAAAATGTTTGGACACCCCTGGTATATGCTGTACACAGAGATTGAGATTGAGAGATAGAGAGATAAATAGGTATATACTGTACACAGAGAGAGAGAGAGAGAGAGAGAGACATACCGTAGATACTGTACACAGAGAGAGAGAGAGAGAGAGAGACATACTGTAGATACTGTAGATACTGTACACAGAGAGACAGAGAGAGAGACATACTGTAGATAAATAAAGAGAGAGGGAGATAGGTATACACTGTACACAGAGAGAGAGAGAGAGAGACACAGACAGACAGGGAACGAGAGATGTATAGATACATAAAATAGAACTAGATATAGGCTGCAGAACACTGGTCTAAAAACAACAGATTATTTGACGCCTGGGTTTGAAAATAAGCCACACACACACTGCACTCACCTGATTTGAGGATTTCTTGTCTTTGAAAGAATCTCTGCCTCCGCGTCTCCGCTGGGCCATCTGCAACAAACACAACCCAAAGTCAGACCAAAGAACTAGTGCCACACAGAACCATGGATCAGCGAGAGAGAGAGAGAGAGAGAGAGCACACAGCTGCGATCCAGAGTCCTGTCTGTGTGTATTTGAGAGAGCACACAGCTGCGATTGAGAGTCCTGTCTGTGTGTATTTGAGAGAACACACGGCTGCGAGAGAGAGTCCTGTCTGTGTGTATTTGAGAGAGCACACAGCTGCGATCGAGAGTCCTGTTTGTGTGTATTTGAGAGAGCACACAGCTGCGAGAGAGAGTCCTGTCTGTGTGTATTTGAGAGAGCACACAGCTGCGATCGAGAGTCCTGTCTGTGTGTATTTGAGAGAGCACACAGCTGCGAGAGAGAGAGAGTCCTGTCTGTGTGTATTTGAGAGAGCACACAGCTGCGAGAGAGAGTCCTGTCTGTGTGTATTTGAGAGAGCACACAGCTGCAATCGAGAGTCTTGTCTGTGTGTATTTGAGAGAGCACACAGCTGCGAGAGAGAGAGAGTCCTGTCTGTGTGTATTTGAGAGAGCACACAGCTGCGATCGAGAGTCCTGTCTGTGTGTATTTGAGAGAGCACACAGCTGCGATCGAGAGTCCTGTCTGTGTGTATTTGAGAGAGCACACAGCTGCGAGAGAGAGTCCTGTCTGTGTGTATTTGAGAGAGCACACAGCTGCGATCGAGAGTCCTGTCTGTGTGTATTTGAGAGAGCACACAGCTGCGAGAGAGAGTCCTGTCTGTGTGTATTTGAGAGAGCACACAGCTGCGATCGAGAGTCCTGTCTGTGTGTATTTGAGAGAGCACACAGCTGCGATCCAGAGTCCTGTCTGTGTGTATTTGAGAGAGCACACAGCTGCGAGAGAGAGAGAGAGTCCTGTCTGTGTGTATTTGAGAGAGCACACAGCTGCGAGAGAGAGTCCTGTCTGTGTGTATTTGAGAGAGCACACAGCTGCAATCGAGAGTCTTGTCTGTGTGTATTTGAGAGAGCACACAGCTGCGAGAGAGAGAGTCCTGTCTGTGTGTATTTGAGAGAGCACACAGCTGCGATCCAGAGTCCTGTCTGTGTGTATTTGAGAGAGCACACAGCTGCGATCCAGAGTCCTGTCTGTGTGTATTTGAGAGAGCACACCGCTGCGAGAGAGAGTCCTGTCTGTGTGTATTTGAGAGAGCACACAGCTGCGATCGAGAGTCTTGTCTGTGTGTATTTGAGAGAGCACACAGCTGCGAGAGAGAGTCCTGTCTGTGTGTATTTGAGAGAGCACACAGCTGCGATCGAGAGTCCTGTCTGTGTGTATTTGAGAGAGCACACAGCTGCGAGAGAGAGTCCTGTCTGTGTGTATTTGAGAGAGCACACAGCTGCGATCCAGAGTCCTGTCTGTGTGTATTTGAGAGAGCACACAGCTGCGATCCAGAGTCCTGTCTGTGTGTATTTGAGAGAGCACACAGCTGCGATCCAGAGTCCTGTCTGTGTGTATTTGAGAGAGCACACAGCTGCGAGAGAGAGAGAGAGTCCTGTCTGTGTGTATTTGAGAGAGCACACAGCTGCGAGAGAGAGTCCTGTCTGTGTGTATTTGAGAGAGCACACAGCTGCAATCGAGAGTCTTGTCTGTGTGTATTTGAGAGAGCACACAGCTGCGAGAGAGAGAGTCCTGTCTGTGTGTATTTGAGAGAGCACACAGCTGCGATCCAGAGTCCTGTCTGTGTGTATTTGAGAGAGCACACAGCTGCGATCCAGAGTCCTGTCTGTGTGTATTTGAGAGAGCACACAGCTGCGAGAGAGAGTCCTGTCTGTGTGTGTATTTGAGAGAGCACACAGCTGCGATCGAGAGTCCTGTCTGTGTGTATTTGAGAGAGCACACAGCTGCGAGAGAGAGTCCTGTCTGTGTGTATTTGAGAGAGCACACAGCTGCGATCGAGAGTCCTGTCTGTGTGTATTTGAGAGAGCACACAGCTGCGATCGAGAGTCCTGTCTGTGTGTATTTGAGAGAGCACACAGCTGCGAGAGAGAGAGTCCTGTCTGTGTGTGTATTTGAGAGAGCACACAGCTGCGATCGAGAGTCCTGTCTGTGTGTATTTGAGAGAGCACACAGCTGCGAGAGAGAGAGTCCTGTCTGTGTGTATTTGATGGAAAACATTAGAGAAGGATGAAAGAGAAGTTTGTCCCACGGCGGGAAATCCTGGTTTTAGCACAAGGTTAAAGACAGACGCACAAAGACACACACAACATGGACTCTCTCTCTCTCTGGCCTCCTCCTCCAGTCTCTCTCTTTCTGTTTTCTCTCTCCCTCACTGGTCTCTTTTTGATCTCTCTCTCTCTCTGGTCTCTCTCTCTCTGGTCTCTCTCTCTGGTCTCTCTCTCTCTCTGGTCTCTCTCTCTCTCTGGTCTCTCTCTCTGGTCTCTCTCTCTCTGGTCTCTCTCTCTCTGGTCCCTCTTTCCCTCTGGTCTCTCTCTCTGGTCTCTCTCTGGTCTCTTTCCCTCTGGTCTCTCTCTCTCTGGTCTCTCTCTCTCCCTCTGGTCTCTCTCTCTCTGGTCTCTCTCTCTGGTCTCTCTCTCTCTGGTCTCTCTCTCTCTGGTCCCTCTTTCCCTCTGGTCTCTCTCTCTGGTCTCTCTCTGGTCTCTTTCCCTCTGGTCTCTCTCTCTCTGGTCTCTCTCTGGTCTCTCTCTCTGGTCTCTCTCTCTCTCTGGTCTCTCTCTCTCTGGTCCCTCTTTCCCTCTGGTCTCTCTCTCTGGTCTCTCTCTGGTCTCTTTCCCTCTGGTCTCTCTCTCTCTGGTCTCTCTCTCTCTGGTCTCTCTCTCTCTGGTCTTGTGTATATATATATGAGCCCAGACTCTAAACAAGCGCGCACAAGCACTACACGTCCATGTCCACTAGGGGGCCACATGTTTGAGACCTCATCCACAGTTGGAACCATTTCATATTTTTTCAGAAACTCAAACACTGCAAATATTTCACGGCGTCTTTCACACGATGTCGTTAAACCGTAGAATCAATAACACAATTCCAGGCGCTCAGAGCGAAAGTGCAGGTTAGCCATGCGGCGTCACGTTTATGTCACTTTTACTCGCACAGGTCAGAGTTTTAGCTGAGTGCTTTGTTACTGCACACGCTGATGCTGACACCGGCGAGTGTTTTCAAAAGTGCCGAGTCATGAGCAGGTGCAGAGGCTGTAAACATGACGCAGCTCCTCTGCATCTGAACCATGGATCTATCATAATCACTGGATACTAGTTTGGAGCTGAAGGACCCATGGATTCTCGCGGTACTGCAGACTCAACGGGGTACCCAGAAATGTAAACTAAAACAGCTCGACCTCAGCTGACAGAGAACCTGACAGAGAACCTGACACAGAACCCGACACAGAACCCGACAGAGAACCCGACAGAGAACCTGACAGAGAACCCGACAGAGAACCCGACAGAGAACCCGACAGAGAACCCGACAGAGAACCCGACAGAGAACCCGACAGAGAACCCGACAGAGAACCCGACAGAGAACCCGACAGAGAACCTGACAGAGAACCCGACAGAGAACCCGACAGAGAACCAGACAGAGAACCTGACAGAGAACCTGACAGAGAACCTGACAGAAAACCCGACAGAGAACCAGACAGAGAACCTGACAGAGAACCTGACAGAGAACCTGACAGAAAATCCGACAGAGAACCAGACAGAGAACCCGACAGAGAACCTGACAGAGAACCTGACAGAAAACCCGACAGAGAACCAGACAGAGAACCTGACAGAGAACCTGACAGAGAACCTGACAGAGAACCTGACAGAAAATCCGACAGAGAACCAGACAGAGAACCCGACAGAGAACCTGACAGAGAACCTGACAGAAAACCCGACAGAGAACCAGACAGAGAACCTGACAGAGAACCTGACAGAGAACCTGACAGAAAACCCGACAGAGAACCAGACAGAGAACCTGACAGAGAACCTGACAGAAAATCAGACAGATAACCAGACAGAGATCCCGACAGAGAACCTGACAGAGAACCCGACAGAGAACCTGACAGAGAACCCGACAGGGAACCTGACAGAAAACCCGACAGAGAACCCGACAGAGAACCCGACAGAGAACCCGACAGAGAACCTGACAGAGAACCCGACAGAGAACCCGACAGAGAACCAGACAGAGAACCTGACAGAGAACCTGACAGAGAACCTGACAGAAAACCCGACAGAGAACCAGACAGAGAACCTGACAGAGAACCTGACAGAGAACCTGACAGAAAATCCGACAGAGAACCAGACAGAGAACCCGACAGAGAACCTGACAGAGAACCTGACAGAAAACCCGACAGAGAACCAGACAGAGAACCTGACAGAGAACCTGACAGAGAACCTGACAGAGAACCTGACAGAAAATCCGACAGAGAACCAGACAGAGAACCCGACAGAGAACCTGACAGAGAACCTGACAGAAAACCCGACAGAGAACCAGACAGAGAACCTGACAGAGAACCTGACAGAGAACCTGACAGAAACCCCGACAGAGAACCAGACAGAGAACCTGACAGAGAACCTGACAGAGAACCTGACAGAAAATCCGACAGAGAACCAGACAGAGAACCCGACAGAGAACCTGACAGAGAACCCGACAGAGAACCTGACAGAGAACCCGACAGAGAACCTGACAGAAAACCCGACAGAAAACCCGACAGAGAACCCGACAGAGAACCCGACAGAGAACCCGACAGAGAACCTGACAGAGAACCCGACAGAGAACCCGACAGAGAACCAGACAGAGAACCTGACAGAGAACCTGACAGAGAACCCGACAGAGAACCAGACAGAGAACCAGACAGAGAACCTGACAGAGAACCTGACAGAGAACCTGACAGAAAATCCGACAGAGAACCTGACAGAGAACCAGACAGAGAACCAGACAGAGAACCCGACAAAGAACCTGACAGAGAACCTGACAGAAAACCCGACAGAGAACCAGACAGAGAACCTGACAGAGAACCTGACAGAGAACCTGACAGAAAACCCGACAGAGAACCAGACAGAGAACCTGACAGAGAACCTGACAGAAAATCAGACAGATAACCAGACAGAGATCCCGACAGAGAACCTGACAGAGAACCCGACAGAGAACCTGACAGAGAACCCGACAGAGAACCTGACAGAAAACCCGACAGAGAACCCGACAGAGAACCCGACAGAGAACCCGACAGAGAACCTGACAGAGAACCCGACAGAGAACCCGACAGAGAACCCGACAGAGAACCTGACAGAGAACCTGACAGAGAACCCGACAGAGAACCTGACAGAGAACCCGACAGAGAATCTGACAGAGAACCCGACAGAGAACCCGACAGAGAACCCGACAGAGAACCCGACAGAGAACCCGACAGAGAACCTGACAGAGAACCTGATAGAGAACCTGACAGAGAACCTGACAGAGAACCTGACAGAGAACCCGACAGAGAACCTGACAGAGAACCCGACAGAGAACCCGACAGAGAACCCGACAGAGAACCTGACAGAGAACCCGACAGAGAACCCGACAGAGAAGCTGATAGAGAACCTGACAGAGAACCCGACAGAGAACCCGACAGAGAACCCGACAGAGAACCCGACAGAGAACCCGACAGAGAACCCGACAGAGAACTCGACAGAGAACCCGACAGAGAACCTGACAGAGAACCTGATAGAGAACCTACAGCTTCCATAAGATTTTGTGTCCCTTTTTTTCTTCTAAAAATCCTTCAGTTTTTTAAATCCACACTTTAATGCCACAAACTCTGCTCTCACCCATGGAGCTTCCTGATTGGACAAAATAGATTCAAATCCTTCAGACCTCTCGTCATTGGTTAAACTATCTTCCTCTGTCAAATCTTACTGGTCGTACTTGTGCCAAGGGGAGGAGCTACTTTAAATGTATAATTGCTGAAAGATTGTCAGGGTACAGGAGAGCGCAGTGTCCCACGCTCAGAAACATGCTTTCTCTTTTTCGGACTATAAGCCGCTTTTTCCTGCATTTTGAAGTCTGTGGTTTATAGTCAGGTGCGGCTTATAGTCTAATATAAAAAGTAATAATACGTAATAAATAGTTTGTTTATCATTTATTCTGTAAAACTTCTTTATAGCTGATGGCCTTCTCTGTCCTAATGTGTCTCTCTGTGTGTATTTAAACCATAGACTGCATACAGATGGACAACGCTAACCCGTTAGCTGAATGAGGCCCAATAGGGAAGTGCTCATGGACGAAGTTTTGTTCCAAATCTCTCTGACTTCCATGTGAACTAATCTCCTCTCGCTCAGTGACCGTTTGTGTCTCACTCACTATTATGCAGAGGTGTGGACTCGAGTCATGTGACTTGGACTCGAGTCAGACTCGAGTCATGATTTTGATGACTTTAGACTCGACTTGACCAAATGTAAAAAGACTTGCAACTCGACTTGGACTTTAACATCAATGACTCTGACTTTCACTTGGACTTGCGCCAATTGACTTGCAAAGACTTGCGTAACCCGGGCCATTTTTACCTTTCTCCGCATCTCTCTTTCTATCTATGCCGTCTCTGAAGAAACAAAGCCTCGCGGTAGTTGTAGCGCTCGCGCGAGAGTTCAAACGTGAGTTCCAGGCAGTTGGCGCAGCAACACTTCCCTAAACAAGCGGACTGCATTCACCGGTGGGTGTGTTGTCTAGGGGAGCTGGAAATGAGCGAGCTGCAGGTATTTATCGCAACCTAACGTCATATTTTGTTCTACAAACCGTAATTGATATGCTTTCACTACAGGCGCCTCATACAATTGAATCGACGCAGTTGTCACACTCTGTGCCGTGTTTTAAAGAGGAACTGGTGAGTCAAACTAGCGCTAGCCTGCGCTGCTCTGTTGGCTCTTTCTTATATTTTTCTGTGTGGGCGCCGAGGCCTATTATTATGAGTATGTTTTTGCTGTGCTCCTCCTGCTAAAGTTTGCATACATTAGATAGTTGTTTTGATTATGTGCACTAAGCTAGATTAATATTTGCACTATTGTTTATGGTGCATTGATATGAGAATCAGTGCTTTTGTTAGTATTAGATAGCAATATGGCCTACGTGCAGGACTGTACAAGGACTCTACAAGGACTCCATGTTATGACTATGATGTGACTGTCTCTTTGTGACACGTATGTCTTTCGATGTGTGACGTGACAATGACTATATAAACTGTGTACTGCCTTTATTCTGTCTGAGAGAAAGAAACAGAGTAAAACAGTGGAACTTGAGAGAAACTTAAATAAACTTCCAGAGTTTGGCACACCACGATCCGTCTCTGTCTGCTAAATCCTAACAGATTTGGTGGAGAATGCGCGGCTCGGTTTGTGCCATTCTCTGGATTGTTTTGAGGGAGTTTCCTCTGTTTTCTTTTTTTTCGGCGTGTGGGAGCAACAGCACGTTATCTGGAAGGGGAGAAATCCCAGTGGACGCTGAAAGGGCTCGCTTTTGGATGGGCTTGCTCTTGCTCCCTCACTTTCTCTGTTTTGTTTTTTAAATTGAATATTCCGACGCGGAAAAGAGTTGGCAGACCTCTCGGACAGTCCTTGGAACCGGTTTGACAAGAATAAGGTAAGCAGACACCTTTTTTAATATGTAAAGTCTGCATAATTGGATATTAGCTAAATTTTGGTCTGTTTTTTGGGGTCTGTCAAACTCTCTAAATTGTATTTTGAGAAAGTCTCGGGGTTAAAGTCCCTTTGAGCCTCGGGGTTAAAGTCCCTTTGAGAAAGTCTCGGGGTTAAAGTCCCTTTGAGCCTCGGGGTTAAAGTCCCTTTGAGCCTCGGGGTTAAAGTCCCTTTGAGAAGAAGCTTCAGGGTTAGAGTCCCTTAGTAAAACCATGGTATAAAAGTAAAAGCAATTTTTAAAAAGGGAAACGTGTTAAGGAGGCCTTTGTTACAAAAGCTTTGAAATTGACGAATTTCAGGCTGATAAATGACAAAAGTAAAGAATCAACAATATTTCAGTGATCACGGTTTAAATTACATACAGAAAAAGGGAGTTTTTTTTGTTTTTTAGTTTGTTTTTGGCGTGAACAGAGTTCACTGGAGAATGCAGAGTTTTATCTAAAGTTGAGCTATGAGAGCTTTTGTGAGTTATTTACATTTTTTGCCGAGTTTTATCTACAGTTGAGCTATGAGAGGGCTGTATCCAACAGTTGTTTTTGTTTTTTAGAAAGAGATTTTGAGTTTAAATTAGTTTGCTACCTCGATAAAATAGAAGCGTAAACGTTAAAGACAAGAGTGCCTTTTGTTACTAGTGTGGAAAGTGATCAATTCTAGACTTGGATGACAAAAGCATAAAGAACAACATCAGTTATATTCGCTTAACAAAGTAATCTTGAAAGTTATTCTTCTGTATCTTTTTGCCTGTGTGTGTGCGTCGCTCTATCTGCTGCCGTTGTCAGGGAAACGGCCCCCTCCTTCGCTGCTCTGGCTGTGAATCTGAAGCAAAGCTACTGCTTTAGGACTTTTGGCTTTTCATAGTTGTTATTCCGTTAAATTTGCTAAATTTGCCATTTGAACATTGTGTTAGACACAGTTAAACGTTTTTAAACACCATTAGGGAATAGAAGTTTTGAATTAGTATGTTTTTGAAACCCAAAGATTAGTACAAAAAGCTTTGCTTTTCTTTTTAAATCTGCTGCTTATTTTGTGAGTCCATTATTGTATCTCTGATATATTTAATAGCTGTTTGTGAGAATTTTTGTATGTTTTTATTTTAGTTACAAAAGCCGTTTTTCAAACATTTAAATTAGAATCCGTGTTAAAAGTGATTATTGATTATAGACTTCGTCTAAAAAAGAAAGAGGGAATTAGGCTGTAAAAGTATTATATTATTAAGTTAAACTACCCAATTCACCCAATTCACATTCAAGCGGTGACTTTTGTTTTTGTTTTGACTACACGCCTGACCTTGTTGCTCCTGCTGATGCCACAGCAGAGGAGACTGGTCTAAAATGTGCTCCAATTCATACTGACTTAATTTGAAAAATGCTGCAATTATTTTAAATTAGTAAAATATATGCTGAGATAAATGCATAGATAATTAATCACACAGTACAAAAGTACATAATACATATTTTAAAGTTTGAAGGTTTAAGAGATTTGAGTCTTGTTTTTTATATTGAGAGTTTCTGGTTTTAAAATGTCATCATTAGTAAGATAATAAGTAATCTTTATTTACATAGCGCTTGGGAAAACCCAGAGCGCTCAAATTGTTTTGACTTCAGAGAGAAAAACAATCTCATTCACAATCTCTGTTGTTTTTAATTTGACTATAAGGTTGTTTTCCAGAACCAAGAGCACACACTGTACAGGGTCACTGGACTGCTGGACACTGGACACCAACGCCCACCCAGCCACAGGTCACAGATCAAAGAGCAAAGGGAAATGCCACCTCCTTGCCCCTCCCCACGCCACTCCAGAGCTGAGTGGGTGTGAGAGAGACCGGGGTAGAGAGAGGTTTCTGGAGACGTGATGGGTGGAGCATCAGGGAAAGACCTGAATGAGAGTTGAGAGTGTGTCCAGTTGGTTTGCATCACCACAGTGTGACCTTTGACACCTACAGGTGGTTCGAGGAGTCTGGAGAGACAACCCCAAAATTCATACACACACACATACACACATACACACACATTCACATTTACATATAGATACATGAAAAAGCAGAACATGAGAAAAAAGCATTTTAAAAGTTTACTCCAATGTAAACATATTTTTAATTGTCTATCACTTGAATCTTTAGTTGAATCAGTATTTTTTGAGACCAGAAATGTTCATTTGAATTCTATATTGTCATGGACTTAATTGACGTCTGTCCTGACACTTTTGATGTTTTGATTTTGTACTGTGTGAAGTAATTACATTGATTACATCTGATAAAAACCCAAACCCAAATTAGAGAAGTAAACTGAATCATTGCGCTTGCTTTTGTCTGAGGGACATTAGCAACAGCATGAATAGAAATTGTCTTTAAAGTAGAATCAAAGTGACTTAACCATAGAGAGTAACTATTGCATAACAAGCTGTGTACAGGAACTGAGACACTGCACCATTGACCAGAAGTGCATCGCAAATGACCTGATGTGCTTCAACTGAAAAGACTGTATCTGGAGATCTGATGTGCATCTGGAGACCAGAACCAGAACCATGGCTTGGACCCTACTGATGTCCAAGATGACATCTCGAAATATGACCTGACCTGATGACGACTGAGACTCACCCTCAGGGGACCCTGAGGACCTGAGGACCTGAGGACCTGAGAGAGAAAAAACTGGGGAGTGACGTTTATATTTTTGAAATCATACATTGATGAGTGCTAAATGAGAGAGATACTCATGATTCTTTCTTTTGTTTTTGTTTGTCCCTAGCTTCTGGACATCTGATGATCTATTGGACACAGACATTTGCAGAACAAGAACCAGCCAATGAAAAATCGTCTATTGCCGATGCTATTGCTACAACCAGAAACTGTGACAAATGCAATATACATGTTAAGTATTCAGACAACTGACAGACAAAACTTTGACTTTTTTAGTCTGGGAGACTGAGCAACTGTTAAAATGTTTTAAAATGATAAAGTATGGGTATTGTAGCGTTGTTAAATAGTAGTAAAAGAGTAGAATTGTCCTTCCTTTGTTGTTCATAAACATATTTCCACATAAGAGTTAAAATAGTGCCATACAA